GTTTTTGGCTTTGAAGGGTACAATCAGTCCTGGAATCATTCCCATGTTTGTGTCGGTTTATGATCTCTCAACATGTACCCTACATACCATATGGGGGAATAGACATAAAATGGGGAGGTGGGGGGGGATAGACTTGAATTATGGGGGGGCGATATGAAATATGGGGGAATGAACATGAAATATGGGGGGATATGGATTATGGAGGAGTGAACATGAAATTCTGGTTCTTGCCTTCAAATCGCTACATAATGCTGCTTCCACCTATCTATCCTCCATTATACACAAGTATGTCCCGTCTAGGCCATTACGATCTGCTGAAGACTTACGTCTATCTTCTGTCCGTATTCCCACCTCTGATGCTCACCTTCAAGATTTCTTGAGGGCTGCACCGTTCCTGTGGAACTCACTTCCCTCTTCCGTTAGATGCTCACCCAGTCTCCACTTCTTCAAAAAATCGTTAAAACCCACTTTTTCATAAAAGCGTATCAATTAAACTGTTAATAGCTCTCAACTGATTCCTCTTCTGCAACTGTCACTAGTCTAATACTATCCTTACCTTTTTGTGTCATTTTATCCCACTCCCTCTAGCATGTAAGCACAGTGAGCAGGGCCCTCAACCTCTCTGGTCCTGTGTGTCCAACTTGTCTGGTTACAACTACATGTCTGTTCGTCCACCCATTGTAAAGCGCTGCGGAATTTGATGGTGCTATATAAATAACATACTAATAATAATAATAATATGGGATAATGGATATGAAATATGGGGGGATGGACATGAAATGGGGGGGTGTACATGAAATATGGGGGGGGATATGAAACATGGGGGGAATGGACGCTGAAACCCATGCTACACCGCTGTGTCCAGTGTGAAGAGGGTGTCCGGGAGAGGCAAGAAAGTGTCCCTGAATGGCATGTTCAGAATGTGGCAGTGGCGTACACATGACCCATGGGGCACCGGTGCAAAAATTGATCCGTGACCCCCGCGCTTACTCTGCACGGGTCGGGGCCGCAACACATGGTACATACCGGGTCGCAGGGGCGGCCGGGCCCCCTGGTGGGCCTGGCCCAGTCGCAGCCGCAATCCCTGCGACCCTGGTATGTACGCCACTGGAATGTGGTTACCCTACCCTAATCAAGCCTCAAAAATGAGGCTCCATGCTGCACTGCTGCTATGCTATTTTAAAAAATGTTATGCCGCATTATGCAGGGGCCGCAGGGCTGGCAATTCGCAATGGGAAGGTGCGAGTGTCGCTTTGCCTTTAAGACACTCAGGTCACCTACCCTTCCATTGGCTGTCCACCCCCACTCTCTGCAAACCTCGTGACCTGACGCCTGATGTCAACAGTGTATTTGTATATACATATGTGTGTCTGTATTTATATATATGTATGTGTGTGTGTTTATATATATATATAAGTATACACGCAGCGTGTGTGTTTGTGCTTTAGGGTGCACATCCTAATGCAACAGGCTGCGCACGCCTATGATAGTCACTGTGAAATGATGTTGCATGAATACAGCCACAGGTCCCTAACTTTGACAAGCATAGAAACAAGTCCTTAGACATATTTTTTTGCAAGAAGTTGCAGTTAGCACACCATTCTAAATTATACAATTTTAAATTGAAATATGCATAATTTATTTTCTTTTGATAGTCTTCATGTGCTAGAGTTCATTTAAGAATGTATGAATGAATTCCAACAAAGAAACAATATCTTTTACTTTGGGGTATTAATTCATTCCTGAAATGTAGACATATTTCAAACATTTGATATGACAATACTTTCCATTACATCAATTCTAGAAATTATTTGAAACAAATGCATGGTTCTTCTGACACTTGTTCTATAATCATTTTTTCCATTCTGTCTTTTGGGGATAGAACACAGTTTGGTATCATATTTAATGTGTGTTATGCTGATAAAGGGAAACTGAAAACTAGAATGAATCTGTCTATGTTTTAATTCCAATAAATGTTAACTTTTATCATAAAATATATTTATTTTATGTTATTTATTTTATTACATTTTCAGGAAATCTTCTGGTAGTCATCAATAGACAAAATAACAAAAGATTGCTGGGGTGAAGAGACTCAAAGGATATAGCAAAAATGTCACATGAATTGAGCTGCCAAGGTTTGTTGAAGATGAGGCCATTTGGTGTTACTATCATTCTTTTACTCCAAAGTACTAGCATACATTGTTCCGGCACATAAAATAATGTCAGTGCCTCTTCCTCACAAGGTTCTTTCAGCTCATTGTAGAAGTTCCTAGGATGGAGTAGGCAGATTTTCTCTCTAGATGTTGTGGACTATATCTCGCATAATGCTCTTACAGCCATAATACTGGCAAAGCATCCCTGGAGATGTAGTCCACACCACTTGGAATGCCAAAGGTTGCCTATCCCTGTCCTAGGATATGCAGGCTGTGCCTATTGCATGCAAGCTAAGGCAGTGCTTAGTATTCCATAATCCCATTTAACGTCCAATTAAATGCATTCTGGATAAAGGTGTTTTCTACAAGAATGCAGTGAGGAGTCCACTTTGTAGAATAAAAGAACTGGGCATCCATGTCTGCCTTCCATATTTAGGACTGGTAACAGACGTGGTGTCAGACAGAATGCCTAAATGGTGCAATAAGGTGTCTATCTACTGGAAGTCTTGAACTTGTATCTCTGCGCAATTGTGATGTGTCATAAGGAATTGTGTTACTGTTCAATGGTTTATAAACAGACATTTTTGTATAAGTTGTTGAAGGAACCTCCAGCAAATGATTCTGTTACAAGACCGATGAATCAGTGCTTGGGATAAGTGTGTAAAGAGCAGGTGAGCAACTTCTGACAAATCAATAATTATGTTCTTCCATCGCCATCAGTACTCCATGAAGTCCATCCACCTGTCCATCTCCTGCTAGGCTCATGGGACAGCTGCTTTAGGGCAGTTAAGTGGTCATGGTGGACATCAGAGGATAAATTGATAGCTTGGAGTCTGCCTAAAACTACTGACCAATGTATGCCATTATATTCCATCAGTGATCATCAAGAAAAGTTTTTTTCTGAACAACTCCCATTATCAGCAACTCTGTTCCAGCCACCATTGGTGGCTGCCAAGCAGTGTTCCCAAGTGAAATTTTCTTTAAGGTATTAAGGAGTGAAGATTCATTGAGCTGAAGTGTCATATTAGGCCTAGTGGCATGTAACAGCAAAAGGAAATGGTTCGTAATAACCAGGTGACTAACAAGCTTCTATGTCTGGTATTTCTTGCTTTTGTGACTCTTCTTTTTTTTTGACAATCTTTATTTGGTTATATTACTTTACAATTAGAGTTAGTATGCAGCAAAATTTCAATGAGTTTCGATTTATAACATTGTGTTTAAACTTTGCCATAACAACAGTTTGGTTTGTTAACAGTGTATATCTCGTGTGTGCAGTGAAGTACTAAGGGAGGGGCGGTCCGCCCAGGTGCCACCAGTTAGGGGGGTGCCACCAGGTATGGGGGTACCTCCAGGGCTGGCCAGGCTTGTGACTCTGTGAGCTGTGTGGCTGCACAGGGTGCCGGGAGCTACACAGCTCCCACGCAGGGGCTGGGAACTCAGCAGTACAGAAGTATTGCACTGAGAATTGGAGGCGGAGCCAACCCGCCGTGGAGGCGGAGCCAAACCGGATGTGGGGGCGGAGCTATAGCCAGCCTCCATTTGCTGCCTTTCACTGCAGCACACTGAGGGGAAGCAGGAAGGAGTCCCTGCTTCCCCAACTCCAACACACCAGGGACTCACTGACTCAACTCCTCCACCAGTAAGTAAGAGAGAGAGAGTCTGTGTGACTGTGTGTGTGAATGTCTGCCTGTGACTATCTGTGACTGTGTGTGTGAATGTCTGCCTGTGACTATCTGTGCCTGTGTGTGTGAATGTCTGCCTGTGACTATCTGTGCCTGTGTGTGTGAATGTCTGCCTGTGACTATGTGTGCCTGTGTGTGTGAATGTCTGCCTGTGACTATCTGTGACTGTGTGTGTGAATGTCTGCCTGTGACTATCTGTGCCTGTGTGTGTGTGTGTGAATGTCTGCCTGTGACTATCTACCTGGGACTGTATATGACTATCTGCCTGTGACTGTGTGTGACTGTGTGTGTGTGTGTGTGTGTGAATGCCTGCCTGTGACTATCTGTGACTGTGTGTGTGAATGTCTGCCTGTGTCTGTCTACCTGTGACTGCGTCTATGACTGTCTGCCTGTGCCTGTGTGTGTAAATGTCTGTCTGTGACTGTCTCCCTGTAAATGTCTTTGACTGTGTGTGAATGTCTGCCTGTGACTGTCTACCTGGGACTGCATCTGTGACTGTCTGACTGTGACAGTTTACCTGGGACTGAGTGTGACTGTCTTCCTGTGACTGTGCGTGAGACTGACTTTTGGTGACTGTGTGTGTGACTGTCTGCCTGTGCCTGTATGTATGAATGTCTGCCTGTGATTGTCTACCTGGGACTGTATATGACTGTCTGCCTGTGACTGTGTGTGACTGTCTGCATGTCACTGAGTGTATGTGACTGTGTGCTGCCTGTAACTATGTTACAGTCTGCCTGTAATTCTGTGTGTGTGTGACTGTCTGCCTGTAGCTGTGTGTGTGTGACTGTCTGTCTGTAACTGTGTGTATTACTGTCTACCTGCAGCTGTGCGTTTGACAGTGTGCAAGTGACTATGTGTTTGTTACGGTGTGCATGTGGCTGTATTTGACAGTATATGCGTATAACTGTGTACATCTGACTGTATCTGACTGTCTTCGCCCTGCAGTGAATCGGCACATAACATCATCCAAGCTTTGGCGTCATATTACAGGATGTGCAAGGGATGTGTGCATGAAGAGCACAGAGATCCCAGCAGCAACCACTGACTACCAGGGACTGAGGATCCACTCTAGCCCTCCCAGAGCAAGGTAGGGAAGCTGGGTGGACCTCTTAATTATTAAATGTGTGCATGTATGTGATTGTGTATGTCTGTGTTTATGTGTGTGGTTGTGTGTGTATCTCTGTAATTAAGTGTGTGTGTGTGTGTGTGTGTGTGTATATATATATATAATATATATACATATATATTTATATACACACACACACACACTTAACTACAGAGATACACACACAACCACACACATAAACACAGACATACACAATCACAGACCCACACACATACAATAACAAACACACATAATTAGATATACACACGCAAACATCACATACATACACACACACACACAGACATACACCTATTGTGTTATTGTGTGTGTATATAAATGTGTATGTGTTTGGTACATAGCTCCCTTATTTGGTGTCCTTAAATATTGCAATCCCACATAAGGATAACAAATAAGGGCATTATCTACTAAACAACTGAAATTAAGAAAAGTTTTGTTTTTTTAAAATTGATCTTTTAGCTGTTTAGTTGATAATTATCTAAATTGGTGTCCTTATGTGAGATTTCCGTATTTAAAGATACCAAATTAGGGTGCTGTTTAGCAGATAGCTCCCTCATCCTTATTTGGTGTCCTTAAATATGGCAATCCCACATAAGGATAGCAAGTAAGGGAGTTATCTGATAAACAAAGATCGACGTTAAGAGGTGTCAGGTAGTCCAGGAACAAGAAATCTGGGTGGCTAATGTGAATTATATGCAAATTTGTTGACTGATGCCAATGTGCACTGCATGCTGGCATCAGGCAGCCAATGGCAGCACATTACCCCATCCCCAAGTGAAAAGTTTAGTGCCCCCAGTTTGGATTGTGGTATCTTATGTGCCCACCCCCTATATATTGTTCCTATGTGTCTATGTATCTGCATGTGTGTCAGTGTGTATTTAGGTGTGTGTATGTGTATATGTGTATATGTGCATACATCTCAGAATCTCGCCAACACTACACACAAATACACGCCTGCATTTCAACGTCAACACTACATACAAATGCAACCATTATATATAACCACACCACACTACATAAAAATGCATGCCTGCATTCAAACGCCAACACCACATACAGACACGCATCCTACATTCACTCAAACATACTCCATACAAAAACATGCTTACATTTAAAAGCATAAACACTGCTTAGTGCTAAATAATAATTTTTTTTTAATTTTGGTTGTTTTTTACATTTTAAAGTTGGGGGGTGGAGGGGTGTGCCAAAGATAGGACCCGCCCCGGGTGCCAAACGTTCTAGGTACGCCCCTGCGTGTGTTTGTAGTTATACGCCTTATAGATAGTTTGTCTGTGCACGTATGTCGGAGTTGAATTTTAGACTTTATGGGTATCAGGGTTCCGTGCATCTTTGTGCGAGTGGGCTTTTCTTGGTCTTCGTGGCTCCCTTGGGGTGACTGTGACCTTCCCTTATTTTGGTGTCTACATGTGTTCTGTTTCTAAGGTTAAGCTTGCTCTACATGTTTTCCCTTTCCTTTCCCTCCCCGTCCCCCCCGTCCCCTCTGATAAGGTGGAGTATTTGGTGTCTTTGCGACTGGTTTGGGGTGCTAGCATTCCTATTTCACTGTGTCAGTGTCTGGTCCCATGTTAGTCCATTTCCCTGCCCTCGTCTGCCTCAAAGGTCTAGTGTATTTTAGGTAGTTTTTGTGTCTCTGCTGTCAGTCTCGTCCTGGTAGGGGGCTTTCTACGTGCTGCTAAGCTGTTCTTCAATTGTTTTGGTCCGTCTCATTGCTCTTGTTTGAAGTTGTATATGCATGTCTTTTCTCTTTCCCCCCTCTCTCCCCCCCTAGTGTTCGGTGATTCCCCTTTTCCTTTGTCCACCCTCTGATGTCCATTTGCATGGGTTGGCTTGGTCCAGTGGGTGGGAATCCGTTGCTGTGTCTTTTGAGTGGACTTGGCGTGTCTGCGGTCATGTAGGGAGGGGGAGAAGTGGTGGGTGTGTGTTCACTTCATGTCTGTATTAGCCTGTTAGAGTCGCCGGCACCGCACTCTGTGTGTCTCAGTAAGGAGGAGGTAAGTGCCTTCATCTAACGAATGCTTATGTTCCTATTCCAGTTTGGCGATTCGTTTCAGCAGGTGGATCGTATGAGCATTATGTTCTTTCTTGCACTTGGTGCTAACGGCTATGAGATGCCCTCGAATGACACACTTGTGTGCCTCCCATAGCGTAAGTGGTGTGATGTCTGGGGTGTCCTTCGTCGTGAAGTGTTGGGTTAATATGTGTGCTGCCATGTTAGTAAGCTCGGGGTCATCCAAGAGGGTCTCATTGAGTTTCCATTGTCTTTCTATGGGCTTGAAGAGTGGGGAGCTTGTGCGCGCTACTACTGGTGCGTGGTCTGATTGTTCCATCGTCCCTACCTCTGTTCCATGTAGTAGTGACAGGTATTCTTGTGCTAGGGATACGTAATCTATACGGCTGTAATGTGCGTGGACATCCGAGTAATAGGTGTAGTCCCGGTCTTCTGGATGGCTCGCCCTCCAGCAATCCACCAATCCTGTCTTGTGCAGAGACCGGAGTGTTGCTCGTAAGCAGTGTGCGGGACCGCACTGTGGCCCCTGGAGGTATCCAGGTGAGGGTCTAGCTGTAGGTTCAGGTCTCCGGCAACAACCAGCAGGCCCTCCCTGAAGCTCCCCAGCTTGGCCAGCGTCCAGCTTATGAAGGTATGTTGTTTTCTGTTGGGGTTATACAGGCATGCAAAGGTATAGGTGTGGTCAGCGATGGTGCCCTTGAGAAATAGGTATTGTCCATTAGGGTCTGCCTTAGTCGCGGTGCACTGGAATGGTGTTGTATGTGCGAATAGTATCGCCACTCCTGCTTTCCTGGCCTCAGGGTGGTTTGCGCAGTATGCTGTCGGAAGGCGACGGTTCTCAAGCTTTGGTGCGTCTCTGTTTCTGAAATGTGTCTCCTGCAGGAACGCCACAGATGTCCTTGCGGACCACAGCCGCCTCATTAATTGGAAGCGCTTTTCGGGGACATTGAGACCCCTAACATTGTTGGACCAGTATATCAGCTGGGCCGGGGCATAGCCCCTCCAGGTCGCCTGCATGCCAGAAGGGGGGCCCTGATCCACCATGGCATGAGTGAAAGGAGGAAGGGGAGAGGGAAGAGAAAAAAAGGGGGGGGGAGGGTTTAGGTAGTGGCTAGGGGTGTGGTCGCTTTTGGATTAACTGTCAGTCCGGTGTTGTGGATGTGAGGGAAGGGGGGGATTGGTGCAACTTTGACCCTGTACTGGGAGTAGTCGTTTAAGGGCTTGAGTCTCCTGCCCATCCCTATGAATCCCGGTAATATGTACAGTTGGGGTCTGTCACAGTGAGAGTCTGTGGTACCACCTATGTGAGTTGAACCGTTTGATTAGTTTGTGTTGTATTCTCCTTCCCTTCCTTTGGCACCCAACCTGCGGGGGTGTTGGTGGTCAGTTTCTAGTCTGGTCTGGTCTTGCCCCTGGGCTGCATCAATCTAGTTTGTACTTCCGCTTGCGTGTCAGGGTTCCTAGTGTTCTATTTTCGTGTTCCTCCATGAGCCCTATTGTGGAAGTTGCATTCTATCAATTGTTAGCATAGTGGGAGTAGGAGCCCACCCCGTGTGATAGTCGTACAGTCCCCCGGTGTGGCCAATAAGCATCATTCAAAGTTATGGACCTGCTTCTCCGCCATGCCCTAGTTCGTTGTCACTAGGGGGTCTGACTTAGGGGGGCGGGGCAGGTCGGGTCAGCCATCGTGTGAGCAGGCAGCTTGTGTAGGGTGGGGGACGGCCCCACTCCTTAAGGTTCACTCAGGGCTTTTGTTCGGTTCAATAAACTTCTACCGTGGCCTATGTTGCTATGGGGTCTTCGTTACGCCTATATGCTATGGTATTCTGGTTTCATGAAATGGCCTCGATTGTCGAGGTCCTCGATCTGCCGGAGGAGGTCAAGGAGGATGTTGCCTTGCCTCATGGTCGGTAGGTCCATGGCTTGTTGGCGTAGCGCGTTTTGCATGCGATCCAGCTCATCTAACCGCTGCAATCTCTTCTCGGATTATGGATTGCAGCTCTACCACGAGGTCATTCTTATCCTTGCGGGTTAGCATGCTTGCAGAGATTAGTGCTATGACCGCCAATATTTGGGACAAGGAGCCTGCTGCAGGTGAGTCTCTACTTGAGTTTGCAGTGCTGGATCCAGGGGAGGCGGGTACCGGTGTGCCAGTGTACCCGGCGCCGCGGAGGCCCTGTGGTGTAGATAGGAACCCATTCATCGGGCCGGGGCAGGTGTCTTGCTGGGGTCATGCAGGGTTGTCCTGCAGTTGTTGACCGCTTAGTTTTCCCCATTTGTAGAAGTTTTTATCGCTTTTTTATGCTTTTTCCCAGGGCTTGGCAGGTTGAGGCCTAGAAGCTTGGGTGAAGTGTGTCTCACTCCATCGGCAGTCAGGCCACGCCCCCTTGTGACTCTTCTTGCTCAGAGTTGCCCCTCGGAACTTTAAAGGACCACTCCACACGAGTAAGCAGTATCCTGCTTAATACAATTGTCTACTTCTGTGTGAAGTTGGCACTTTTATAAACCAATAAACTCACACCTGGCTGCCAATCAAACAGCTGGGAAAGTTACCTTCCTCCTCTGTTAGCTCCAGTGAGCTAACGGAAGTGGTAAGCACACGCTGCTAGATCGTTCCTGCCTGCTCCCACAAATCACAGTGAGCCCGTGGGTTCCATTTTACCTTGCACTTCATGGCTGATTGGTAATTTCCCGGGCACAAACTGAAACAAATATGATTTAGGAGTATACCTACTAAACAGTGATTTATTTATTATTTTAATTCTTTCACATGGAGTGGTTCTTTAAGTACAAATTCTCTGCCCGCCATGAATGATCTATGGTCCCAAAGTATAGACATTGTAGCCTAACAGTCAAGTTGTGTCAGAGATAGAAATAAACATTTATTTTGCTTCAAATAGATGTTGGTGCACGCCTGGTGGTGTGTTACAATTAGTGGAGCTCTGAATCAAAGCCCAAAGTCATTATTAAAGGGACACTGTATCTGCTTCATTTCATTAAACTGATTATAGTGTCCAGAGTTTCCAAGTTCCATAATTTCATTCAGCATTAAACAGTTTTTCATATTTTTTTGTTTTAATGCTAAATTAGAGTCCCCAGCAGCCCCTCCCCTCTGTGCTGCTTCGGCGAATGAGGAAGTACTAGCATGAGCAGCAATGGGCAGCTATGATTGGCTGAAAGTGTCAGCTGTCTGTTTTTAGCCTATCAGAGCTCCAACTAACGGTATGAAGGTTATGACTTCAAGGAAGTGTGTAATCTCTGCCTTGGCCACACCTCGAGAAGAGGCCGGACTATGGGTGGCCTTGATCCCTTATTTAGTGTTAAACTGCTCTAAAATGGTTTAACATTGTATGGAGAGACAGTGCCAGGAGATTCCAGGCATCAGAACCAATTCAAAGCGATGAAATGATTATGGTGAGTACAGTGTCCCTTTAAGTTAAGGTAAGTCATTAATTAACAACCAAATAGATATCTAATTTAACCATTTAGTTCAGTCACCAAAGTATTCCTTTATTAATCTCTTTCACTGTATTTCTTTCTATCAACTATGCAGCTTGGTCATGCAATACATTTACAATAGACAATACATGTTTATTATTAGAATAAGGATCCACTCGTCCTGGACCCACTTTTTCCAGGTCCTGGACCCACTTTTTCCAGGTTGTACTATTATATAATCTATACGTCTATCGGGTGTTTTTTCCCACTTTGTTGGCTTAATAAATTTACAACTGCCTGCAATAAATGTTCAATAATCATAATATCATAATGTTCTAGCTGCTAGCTACCCTTTTTCTATTTCCTGGGTAATTTATATAAACCTTGTAACCCTTGTAAAACATCTAGTTGCTGTTTAAACATCTCTACGGACTCTGATAAAAAAAAAATATGCTTTGCAATGCACAGTGTAGAACTTGTATATGCTTGAAAATGTTGTGATCTCGTTCCTCCACAACAAATTCAGGGATGCTGAGATATAGCTGATATGTGTCACTAAGGGTTTTATGTACTAAACCCTAAATCGTACCAAATGAAATTTAAATGGCGAAAGTGAGGCAACAATAGCGGACCAGAAAAATTCTCCAACTCCGCTATAATTACAGCTCGGTTATTTTAACCTGGGTTTTGCAATTTGGATTTTATTTTGATACAATTTCGAGTTCAGTGGATAACCCAGTTGGCTAACAACTTGGTTGGTGATCCTCATAGCAAGTAAGGATGCTAACCCTGTAGGAAATGTGTGAATTGTGCAAACTGAAGACAAATGAAACAGAATTTAGATAAAAATAGTAGAAAACATGAGTAGAAAAGAAAAGTGTCAGATTTGTTTCCAACTCAATTATTTCAGACTAAATTCTGCAGTTTGGATAGGCAACTAACCAGAGCTTACAATTTAGTAAAATGCATCAGTATAAAGGTATACTTACTCAGGCAACCAATGAACGTTGGTTGGCAGAGTTTTAAAGGCTATCCTCTCACAGAGAAAAGCAATATTGAACTTTGAAAATAGTAAGTGTATTGTTTATATCTACAATTGGAAGGAAGGGTGGTGAATTAAAAGGGAATGCTTTAATAAAGCCTTATTGGGATGAAAGAGAGAAATGAAACCCGGTGTAAATGTAAATTGTGCCATATGTTTACTGGATATATTTTAAATATTTTTGTTAAATTTAAATAAAATAAAAAAACATTATTATGTATGAGAATTCACTGCAATTTTCCAGACCCATTACATTGATATTGATATATTCCTCAATAAAATATTTTGGTAAATAAACTGTTCAGTTATATTTATTTTTACTAATTAACCGTTTTACTTTATCAGAGGCAATTTTTTTCCTGACACACAAAGAGTTGATTGCCTGCCCTATACATTAAATTATGTTCTATTCTAAATGTACTTTCCCATTCATTTTTACAACAATATGTGTGGGAAAATAATACTTGGATAGATGGTTATTGTATTATTGCTGGCAATGTGTTGTGTAATTGTGCTTGTTTAAATATTCGTTACTTAACCCTTAACCTTGGAGGGTGGTTTTCTTCTCTTCCGCTTTTGATTTTTTTCATAGATTATTTATAAAGTTAAGTTATCTAATTGTGAAATATTGATAGTTCTTTCCTCCTCTTTCACTTTTGTTTTTTTATAGATTATTTATAAAGTATAGTTATCTAATTGTGGTACACTTATGGACCGCAAGTACCGCTAGATGCATGGAGGAAGTGACTCCATTAGGGTGGTAAAAAATAAACAACACTTCCGGATATCGCAGTGCACCCAGAAGTGAGCACATGTCAGGAGGTCTCACACAGCTGCAAAGAATATCTCAAATGTGATTAAAGAAGAGAGGGAACCCACACACACCCCAGAGAACCAATGAGAAAGAAAAGAGGGGAATTTATAGCGGGACTCAGCAGGAAGGGTTATGACTGTTTGCTTTTATATGGTGATTTTCATTTTGGTCCAAGGCGAAGACCCCTATTTAGAGGAAACACATAGGACCTATCTGTATTTGCTTTTTTAAATTTATTTAATAAGACCAATTTCTACCCTCCATCCTACTGCTGTTCCTGTTTTTCTTCCTATCCTATACCACTTATCCTAAGAATGCCTCTGATGAGTATATTGCCTCTTCACCATTTATTCAGACACTGTAGATGCTTTTTTTTAAACCTCTCCATTTTGTGAATTGCCACTAAATCAAGCGCATGTCTCTTAAACTCATTGTATTACACCATGTTAGGTTTTGTTTTGTTTTTGGTTCAGCTGGTTCACAATATTTGTGGTAGAGTGTTGTGGCGGACTGCCTGGTACCCTGACTGGAAACCTCCGCCAAACACGCTTCCTAGCTATCACTGGGACACCATAAGCACTTTCAGCCCCTTAGGCTTCGCAGCTTGGCTGGGGTTTTGCCATCTCTCCCCACCCTGGATGCGTGTCCTGGATCCAGCTCCCAGTGGTCAGAGCTCTCCTCCAGAGAGTATAGCTGTATAGCAGTAATTATAGCCAGTATAGCATCCCCCCACACACATTAGCTGAGACTTAATGCTGGGAGTAGATCTGTTTAATGCAGGCACAGTCACAGAATTTATACACACAGTAAACTTCTCCCCTGTGCCTGAGAGAAAATTGAGTCAGGAACTGTACAAACTCAATTATCTCAGTACAGAAAAACATACAATATTAAAACACCCCAAAAGCACTCCTTAAATCCATGGAAACCCCTCAAGAGTCACATCCCTGGATACCCCTGATCTAAGTGACCATCATATCCAAAAATCACTCAGGTCGGTTCAGGGGTTTGGATTTTTACATGGAAGTCAACATTTGACTGACCGCACACATGGCTATTGCCCAAAATAGTTCCATAAGAAAAGTGACAGCGGTAGGTCAATGTTGGGAGTCTCAAACCGAACAAAATACCGAACCAATCCTCTAGCTCTTAGGTAGCGATTGTTTACCTACTTCATACAAACAATCCTACCGACTGGCACTCTCCTGACATGAATAGCAACGAAGCAGGCGTTCATTAAAGTTCAGCGGGATACGTGAGTAAAAGTGTCTGATTTTAGTTCCATGAACTAGATGACCAAACACCGCTGCCTGCATTGGTACGAACACGTTCCCACAAGAACTCAGTTGCCACATGTTCGTGCCTACGAACGGCAGCCACCCAGCTGAACACTTAGAATCCATGATGATTAAGGTGTCAGAAGAGGTCAATAGGGGTTAACAAGCACAGAGGTGATTCGCAGTTCGTGGTTCTCCAGGAGCTCATGGCAGAAGCATCTTTGCCACAAGTGTATTCTTGTATTGAAAGGAGGTTTACTGGGAAACTCTTTGTGGATATATATTGGTTTAGTGGTGGAGATTATTCACACAGAGATATTATGTGTATTTTACTGCAGTAAATACTATTATTACTACATTATTATGTAGTATTATGATATTCACAGTTAAAATGCAATGCAGAACTTGGAAAATAACAAAGAACATTTAATTTCTTACACTTTGTTAGATTTTATTCATATTAAATTGAGTTTCATATTTATATATATATATATATATTTGATATGAAATGAAAGCCCTGTTTTTCCTGAACAAAATGATATATAATAAGTGCCATTTAATATGAAAGTGGTGAATCATGTTTGAAAAGACATATAGCGCAATATGCAGGTTTTGTTTTGGTTCAGAACTTGGACTATTGCCTCTGTCCTTAACGGGTTAAGGTCATTGGGGGAAATAAGCAGGAACACCAAAATATAAACAGGACCCAAAAGAATAATAAGCGTCTAGGAAAAATGCTGTTTGAATGACTACATCTTAGTTTAACAATTCACTTTGTTCCTTGTGTGATCTGAAATATTCTACATCACCTTGACAACACATTTTGTGTTCGTTAGTTTTATACTTTGCGATTTAAACTTGTTTTCGTAACCTAGATGCTGCATATCTTAATTTTCACTGAGTTTGGCGTCGGAACTTTGGAATTTTAAAGTTCTCACCATTCTCTAAATCAAGTAGTTTATTAGATTGTAGACAAAAGGTATATGCGAAAAGTGAACTGTAAATGCCCCCAAATTCTCGTCACACGCGCTTTATTACCAGCTAAAAGTGCTGGGTGGGAGTTAGGAAAGCCTTTAAAGGTTTATGGCACAAGCTCAAGTGTACTGGCTTTTATTGTTTTATGCTATGTTTTGCTTGTTATGTGCAGCCAGTCTATTGAAAGTACTCTATGTTCTCTGTTACAATCTTTCAAACCATGAATAATGACAATGTCTTGCTGAGTCTGTACAGGACATGTAAACTAAATAAAATAAAATATTGGACAGGTCTTATAACCAGCCTCATGAATAGTGTTTGAGTACTTCAAGAACACTTGAATATTGGTGGAGACGAAAAAGGAGTTAGGTATTTAATTAGCAGGCATTTGTAGATTTGAAGGTTAGCATCAGAAGATATTACATTTTCAACTTTGTCATATGTTCTGCCTCTTATCAGCATCTCAGTGCATGTTCGACAGGAAAGGGGTAATACATTGAATTTGGTAGATGGTATGTGCAATCCGTCATCGCAAGCTGGTTTCTTGCTAGTACTGCTAAATTGCAAGTCTTTTAAAATGTTATACATATATTGCCTTCTGTTTTAGATTTCTACACTTATCAGTATATTTTTTACTGAACACAAAGTAGGTTTTGGTGGCATAATGAACTTAATTCTCTAAAAAGTGAATGGTGGTAAACTAAAAACCAAATTGCAAATAGCCAAACTGTGACTATAGTTATGCAGGTATTTTTTCCATTATTTTGGCTTACGATTTGCAATTTGGTTTTCAATTGATAACTTTGAAATGATTATTATTTTATTATTTATATAGCACCAGCAAATTCCGTA